AGGAGATTTAACTACATCAGAGCACCCCGACAACTTAACATCTGAGGACACTGACACTGAACTCCTTGACAACACTGAACCCAACTTGCAATTTCAGAAAGCCCTACACTACGTTAAGAATGTACATCAACTCACTCACCTTGGTTCAAAGAAACTGCAGGCATTCCTAAAAGATCAAGATCAAGAGTTTTCCACTAACCAACTCATAGCGAAAAAAAATAGCTGAACGAGTAACAAAAGCCTGTTAGGTCTGTCAATTGGTTAATGCTTACCCCTCCAAGCTTCCTATAGGAAGGCGCCTTCGAGGAACCAGACCAGGACAATTCTGGGAAATAGACTTTACTGAAATTAAGCCAGCAAAGTATGTACTTAAATATCTCCTAATCTTTATAGATACATTTTCAGGATAGATTGAAGCCTTCCCCGCAAAAAAAGAAACGGCGCAAATGGTAGTCAAGAAGATCCTGGAAGATATTTTTCCAAGATACGGCCTGCCTAAGGTAATAGGGTCTGATAATGGACCAGTGTTCATGGCTCAGGTAAGTCAGGGGTTAACCAGGACCCTGGAGATTAATTGGAAGTTACATTGCACTTATAGACCCCAGAGCTCAGGACAGGTAGAAAGAATGAATAGAACCATTAAAGAGACCTTGACGAAATTAAGCTTGGAGACCAGCATAAAAGATTGGACTATGCTCCTGCCTTATGCACTGTTTCATGCAAGAAATACTCCCTCTGTTTCTTTGTGTAATCTTACCCCCTATGAAATTCTCTATGGTGCCCCTCCTCCAGTAAGGGACCTGACCTCAACTCTAAGACCTAACGATTCCTTTCACACCCCCTTGTTTGACAGACTAAAAGCTCTTGAAAGAACCCAGCGATACCTGTGGAAACAGCTGGCCACTGCCTACGAACCTAGGGACGAAGGGACTCCACACCAATATCAAATAAGAGACTTCATCTACGTAAGACGACATCAGGTGTCATCCCTAGAACCCCGCTGGAAAGGACCATACCAGGTGCTACTTATAACACCTACAATGGTAAAGGTAGACGGAATCACTTCCTGGATCCATGCCTCTCATCTCAAGCCTGCTCCCTGTCCAGACTCTAGCTGAAAATTGGAAAAGACTGATAACCCTCTCAAATTGTGTATTTGCCATGTGGATAGGGCTATAAATTCTCCCGTTGACCATCAATAGTCCTAATCCTCATGAGCCCGTTCAGCAGCGATGGCTGATCATAAATCCTACTGGACAGGAAGTATGGTCTGTATCGCACACAGCCCCCTTAAAAACCTGGTGGCCATCTCTCCACCCGGATATTTGTCAGCTGGCTATAGGTCTTTCCTATTGGGATATCCCTGATGAAAAAGATCCCACTAAAATTCCATTAAATCCCCTCCTTATCATAGATAATGGAAACAAACATTATAGATGTAGGGACATACAAGCCAGATGTAGGTTGGCTAGCCTGTATTATTATGTTTGCCCGGGGGACTATCGAAGCATCAAACAGTCATGGCTGTGTGGGGGAAAAACCGACTTCTTCTGTAAATCATGAGGATATGAGCATACAGGGGCTGTCTGGTGGAACCCAAACTCCCCTGACAGTCTGATTCGGGTAGGAAGGAATAATACTAAATTAAATCCCAAACAATGTCTCCCATTTAAACGGAGCCCCCAAGCGGAAACTTCTGGACTAGTTGACCCTACTCCATGTAACACAAATAGCCTATGCAACCCCCTAAATATAACCTTCACCTCCAAAGGAAGAAACCAAAATGTCTGGGCATGGCTTTCAGGAAAAACCTATGGAATGCGATTTTACACCACAGGATATGATTTTGGCCTTTGGTTCACTATCAGGTTGGAGAGAAAAGAAATTCCCTTGGCCATAGGACCCAATCCCATCAAGCCAGAAATTGGGCCTCATAGACCACCTGAACCTAAACCTACTAGGAACCTTTCACTTTCCCATACTCCTCAAGTTTCACCTTCATTTACTTCCCCAATTCAGAGTGAAATCAACCCCTTCCCCTGGAGGCTAATTGAAGGAGCCTTTGCTGTGCTGAATTTCACACAACCAGATCTCACTCAGTCTTGTTGGCTCTGTCTCTCCTCTGCTCCTCCTTATTATGAAGGGATAGCAATTGATGGGACTTATGCAGTAAAAGTGCAGAGTTCCTCCTGTAATTGGGGTGAAAATCTTAAGTTAACCCTCCCAGAAGTAACTGGGGCAGGCTTATATATAGGGTCTCCACCTAAAAATAAACAACACTTATGTATCCAAACAAAAAATATTGGCATCACACAGGGGTTTCCTTACTCTTGATAATGGAACTTTGTGGGCATGTGACACAGGGTTGACTCCTTGCATTTCAGCCCAGATATTTAACAACTCTGTAAATTATTGTATAATGGTGCAGATGTTTCCCAGAGTGCTCTATCATGACGCAGATTCATTTGAAGATCAAATAGAGGAACATACAACCCGGTTTCACCAGGAACCTGTATCCCTCACTGTAACCATCTTATTAGGAATGGGAATTGCTGCAGGGATGGGCACAGGGACTACTGCCGTGGTCCATGGGACACAACAAATGACCCAATTAGAAACAGCAATGGACCAAAACTTAAAGATATTAGAAACCTCCATCACAGCTTTACAGGAATCTTTAACCTCTCTCTCTGAAATTGTCTTACAGAACAGGGGAGGGTTGGACCTCCTCTTCTTGAGAGAAGAGGGCCTTTGTGCTGCATTAAGGGAAGAATGTTGTTTTTATGCCAACCATACTGGAATTGTAAAAGAATCTATAAGTAAACTAAAAAGACGCCTTGAAGAGCGTCAAAGAGAGAGAGAAACCCAAAAAGGGTGGTATGAGTCTTGGTTCACACAGTCCCCCTRGTTAACTACGCTTTTATCAGCCTTGGCCGGTCCTCTAATAATTCTTATATTGTTGCTAACATTAGGACCCTGTTTGCTCAACCATGTAGTTTCCTTTCTCCAGGCCCAAATTGGACAAATCAAACTTATGATAATCAGACAACAATATACCCTACTAGCAGACACGGAATGTGACACCCCTCAATGATCACTTTTATGATTAAAAGTAACCAGAAGAAGAAATGAAAAATGAAAGGTTAATAAAATAGGTACTTGTCACTCCATTTCTCTATATGCTTAACAAAACACTGTTGAAATCTTAAGAACTGTTTCCTAATCTTGTTCCCAGAATGTGCTGTCCCTAACTGTGGACTGTCTGCTAATCTTGTTCCCAGAATGAGCTGTCCCCAACTGCCAAACTACAAAATATAACTTCTCTCGCTGCCCTCTCCAGGGAAAATATATAAGCTCTGCTCAAGCTGTTCTCAGGGCTCTATCTCTCTTTGCTATAGAGAGCTCGGGCCCCAGCATGCTGGTCTCCAAATAAACCCACCCTTCTGCTGTTGCATAAGACAGTCTCTTGTGGTCTCTTACTCCGACGTTTCACCGGACCCTTACAGAGTCAATCCTAGAGGACTGATACCTAACCATATTTGGCAGATGGATGTCACACACTTGCCACAAGTTGGAAAATCAAAATATTTGCATGTTACAGTTGATACTTCTTCTGGATTTTTGATGGGCTCCCTTCATGCAGGAGACAAAACTAAAGATATTATAGCTCATTGCTTACAAAATTTTGCCACTGTGGGCATTCCAAAACAGTTAAAAACAGATAATGGTCCTGCTTATACTTCTACCTCTTTTAAACAATTTTGCTCATCATTTGGCATTACTCATATAACAGGAATCCCATACACTCCACAAGGACAAGGCATAGTTGAAAGAACTCATCAAATTATTAAAATGTACTTATTAAAGCAAAAAGAGGGAGTTGGAAAGGGGTATATATCCCCCAAAGATAAACTTAAAATAACCCTCTTTACTCTAAACTTTTTAAATTTGGATTCATCAGGGCTTAGTGCTGCAGAAAGACATATGTGTCCAAAAAATGTACATAAGCCTAAGGTCCTGACCCAGTGATTGTCTGTGGAGTCGGGGTTCTGTTTGTGTGTTTCCATAGGGAGAACAGCAGCCGATTTGGATTCCAGAGAGACTAACCAAAGTGATTTCTACAGACCAAAAAGAAGATGATTTGACTCAAATCCATAACAGCTGATATCCAGAGCTCCAGCTTGGCTATTCTTGATCTGCAACYGTGGTTCTCCCACACCTGGAGGCTAATGAATAATGAACACCATTAAAGCCTATTTCAAATGTAAAAAACCTTGGGGCTTGCTTGTGATAATGCCTGCAGACCCATTATGCAAGTTATAGGAAAAAGGATGGGACATCCAAAAACGAGTCAAAACCAGGTCTAACCAGAATGTCTTTTTCAATATCTAATTTATTATTGCCTTTTCCTGCATCTTAAAGTTCTATTTTATTTCTTTGAGCTCATTCAGACCTAGGTTAATGTTTTTCTGATCAGTTTTATTTTTTGACTGTGGAGTTTTTAAACATTGCAATGGAGATTTTACCTGTGTAAAGCTACAAGGCCTTTACTATTGTCTTATGTGTTGTATGTTTTGTGTGCACACTTGTGTTTTATGTTGTATGTCTGTATGTGTGTATGTCCATATATCTTATATGAGGAGCGCTCATGAAAAAATGGATCCAAATATTTTTATTATTCACATGATTTAAATGGTTTAATTTATATTGGGTAAACAGCTGTTGAGGATTGTTTCAAATGTAAACAAATAAGGAGGTTAACAGATCTGTTTGTTTGCTTTCACCTTTCCTTCTCATTATATTTAATAATTCTGTTCAGGATAATGTAAATTGTTCAGAAAATTGTTTTCTTAGTACCTGTTGGAATGTTACATACATATTTTTTTTAGCCATCATTGCCAGAATTCCTATCTTCATCCCAGTGCTGGTGAAGACAAAGATAAAACCAAACCACAGCTTCTTCGATAGCTATCACAGTAAACTGTATAAACTGATGCATCAATGAATAATAACTCAACAAGTAATGCTCAATCAAGGAGTCGATTTACTTTGGGAAGAAATGGAAATATTGATAGATTCCTCCACTTTGAACTGCTTGCAGAACTTGCCTGTACTATGTATCACTTGTTACATTGTGAACTATCTGTTGGTGCAGCGAATTGTGGTAATGCTGGAGTATCTTTGCTGATGGTGTCACCAGTGGTACAATTTTTCAAAGGAGCCATCAATTGGCTTAGTGTCGTGGAATTTCTGTATCCTCCTCCCTTCTGCTAGTGATGGCCTAAACTTTGGGGGCCAACAGAGGTGAGGCAAAGAACCTCATCCCCCCACTGGCACCAAGGCCAAATTTGGGGGCCAACAGAGGTGAGGCATAGAACCTCACCCTCCCCACTGGTGCGAAGGCCAAATTTGGGGGCCAACAGAGATGAGGCAAAGAACCTCACCCCCTCACTGGTGCATAGGCCTATCCACAAGTATGTCCACAAGTATGGCTGTATGCTGGACTCGTAGTCAGTGACGGGTATGATCCAATTGCAGTGGTACCAACCTAAGACAGGAGGCTGACACCTTGAGGTCAGCTCATCAGATGATGGGTAAGGGCCATATGTGTATTGGACAGCCTACCAGGCACGGTCCCTAAGCCACATGCTTGGTGCTTAATTAAACAGAAGGGGGGAGATGCTAAGAGCCATAGCCGAGTAGGAATGATGCATGGCATTCTTGGTTGAAAGTTGACACCAGCAAGCCATTGAGATGATAATGGTGTGTATTCAATTGGATATTAGACCCCTGCTGCCCACCTCAGCCTGCTACTTTGGAGCTCTTGTGGGGACTCCCGGAGAGTTCCCATTGGTTGGGGAAATGCATTAGGAGGGATTTCCAGAGGAGGGATTTCTGTTGGGGTGGTGTGTCCCAGGAGAAGGCCACGTGTGTGACATTCGCGGGAGTTTTGGAAATAAAGTTTGTTCCTGCTTGAGTGGCTCGTGATTTTGTGCCCAGCCAGACTGCAGCAACCTTAGAAGATGGAAAGACTTCCCATGCTTCTGCATAGTGAGAATTAATATTGTCCAAATTCCATACTTCCAAAAATGGTATACAGATTCAATGCAATTTGTATTAAAATCTCAATGACATTATTCATAGAACTAATAAAAGCAATTATGAAATTCATTTGGAAAAATAAGAGACCCAGAATAGCCAA